GGCCACACAGCCGGCTCAGACGACGGCAGGGATCGCCGGGCGCGCCCGTCACGGTCACATCCCAAGCGGTGCGCACGGCTGCCGAGTCGAGCGGTGCGCACGGCTGCCGAGTCGAGCGGTGCGCGCGGCTGCCGAGTCGAGCGGTGCGCACGGCTGCCGAGTCGAGCGATGCGCACGGCTGCCGAGTCGAGCGGTGCGTGCCGCTGCCGAGTCCAGCGGTGCGCGCCGCTTCCGAGTCAAGCGGTGCGTACGACTCGAGTCGAGCGGTGCGCACGGCTGCCGAGTCGAGCGGTGCGTACGGCTGCCGGGTCGAGCGGTGCGTACGACTCGAGTCGAGTGGTGCACACGGCTGCCGAGTCGAGCGGTGCGCACGGCTGCCGAGTCGAGCGGTGCGCACGGGCTGTCGAGTCGAGCGGTGCGTACGGCTGCCGAGTCGAGCGGATGCGCACGGTGCCGAGTCGCAGCGGTGCGCACGGCTGCCGAGTCGAGCGGTGCGCACGGAAGACCGAGTCGAGCGGTTGCGACACGCTGCCGAGTCGAGCGGTGCGCACGGCTGCCGAGTCGAGCGGTGCGTACGGCTGCCGAGTCGAGCGGTGCGCACGGCTGCCGAGTCGAGCGGTGCGCACGGCTGCCGAGTCGAGCGGTGCGCACGGAAGCCGAGTCGAGCGGTGCGCACGGCTGCCGAGTCGAGCGGTGCGCACAGCTGCCGAGTCGAACGGCGCGCACGGCTGCCGAGTCGAGCGGTGCGCGGCGCCGGAGCCGCCGTCACTGGCGGAAAGCCCGCCTGAGGTGTCAGCCAGGCGGCGAAGCCAGACGGCGGAGTGCACGATCCGCTGTCCGGACGTGGGCCAGCTCTGCGTTTAAGGAAACGCGGCGCGCGTCGTCGCGCGCCGTGGCGGCGGCGACTGCGGCCGTTCAAGTGGCACTTGGGGTTCATGGCGCAACCGAGACGCGAGCCCGGGTGCCCGCGTGGGAGCCGAGGGAGCTAACCGCTGGGTCACGAGGCCAGGTGGGCTCCCACGCCGAGGCGAGGGCGAGGTCGGTGCGGCGGGCAGGAGCGGCACTCTTCCCGACGGCGCCGGTCAGGACCGCCGCCCACGAGCGCCACATCGCTCGCCGTCGGCGACCGCTCGGAAACAGACACACAGCCCTGGCGCGCTGCCAGCGTAGCTCCGCTGTACGTGTGCAGTAAGATGCGGCTGCAGCACTTCGAGAGACTCCAGTTCTGCCGCAGCAAGGGCCTGCCACTTTTTAACACCCTTGGGAGTGAAGCAGTTCGCTTTTCCCGATGGGTAGGACACAAATCAGTGACAAATGCACCACGCAGTGTAATTTAAACACGAAACACAACAGTTCATTTTGCGTAATAACTTACATTCTGCCCTCAAATGTTGTGAGAAATGTACCAGAAACGTCCTTAAAGTAATCGTGCATAATATATGAACCAAACTGTACTGCGGTACAGCATGCCACCGACGGCCACAAAATACATTGCCTCTTGTGTGTGTGTGTGTGGTTTTCTTTTTTGCTACGCTTTCAAGTCGTCAGGCATGACGCGTGTACCTGAAATTCCCCTCCAGGCTGCAGGTCGCGTACAGTGCGCACGCCCAGTCGCTGGCGTCGCTTGTCAACTTGGCTCGGCCCGATACCGATCCGAATGACGTCGCTTGTCGACTTGGCTCGGCCCGATGCCGATCCGAATGACGTCGCTTGTCGACTTGGCTCGGCCCGATACCGATCCAAATGACGTCGCTTGTCGACTTGGCTCGGCCCGACACCGATCCGAATGACGTCGCTCGTCGACTTGGCTCGGCCCGATACCGATCCGAATGACGTCGCTTGTCGACTTGGCTCGGCCCGATACCGATCCGAAAGACGTCGCTTGTCGACTTGGCTCGGCCCGATACCGATCCGAATGACGTCGCTTGTCGACATGGCTCGGCCCGATACCGATCCGAATGACGTCGCTTGTCGACTTGGCTCGGCCCGATACCGATCCGAATGACGTCGCTTGTCGACTCGGCCCGGTCCGATACCGATCCGAATGATGTCGCTCTGGCGGCGGCGAGCACATGACGGAGCCGGTGACTCGCACCAGCGTAATCGACACATTATCAAACATATTTATCGCGTCAGGCGCGGGGTACACTGCGAGAAAATCCGCCCCGTATCCGATTCCATACAAGAGCACCGGCAGCCAGCGGCGGCAGCTGCGGCGCTTTTTCTTCAGCGGCGCCACTCGGTCGGCGTGTCGGCGGGCCGTGAGCGCCGGCTGCGGCCACTCCGGGGCGGCGAGGCAGCGTGTAGGCGCACCTGAGGCCCGGCCCGTCTCCACGGCAACGGTCGCCGATCCAGCCGGCCACGCACGCCGCCGGCCTGCCGGCACCATCACGGCCTCCCCCAGGCCCCACGGAGTAGCGGGCGTGGGCCGACTCGAGTCACGTGTACGGAGCCCGCAGCCCTGCCACGGAGGAGCTGTGGAGCTTCCTCTGAGGTGGGCTGATATTCGCCAAAACTTCGAATGGTGCGTCTATACCAGGAACGTAAGTCACTGCAGGACATAGCAGATGGGTGAACGCCGGCTTGTTTAAAGAACGCCGGGGGAGACCGAGCATAATGAGTCTACTGAAAAGGGGCTAAGACCAGGCCGCGAGCAATTTGTTGTGGCGTTAGCAGGTAATCGTTATGGCCAGACCATTAGCCCACATCGGTCGCTATCGACTGCAACATGCTTAAAACAACAGTGAACTATTAACAATAAGCCTCTGGGTACAGCTCAGACACTTAAGTTCGAGTGTTACAGATACAAATGACAAAGGCCGTCAGTTCAAGAGTCCTCAAATCAGGCCACGCCACTCAACTGGGCTGTTGCACGGGCGCCAGTAAAACAACTCCCGAGTCGCAGCTATCAGCCGCAAACGGCGGCCGTCCACCGGACCAATCGAAACGCCGCGCCGCGCCCTGTGTAGGATTGCATCGTCGAGTGTTACGATATCAGCCGCGTGTCCGATAACGCGATTGAATAGCTCGACTCCGTCGATAGGAATTCCCGGTGCGGCGCGGCGCCGTGGCCGGCGAGACCGCGCCGCGCTGGCGCGGCCGCCGCCGTCCAGGCCGCTCCCGGTCACTATGGCAACAGCGAGCCAGTCCAAAGGCTTAATTCGATCGGCCGATTACGGCCGCCACCGGTCTGCGCTCGGGCGGCTGTGCCGTTCTCGATGCCCAGTTTTGACGTCCGCCGCAGACTCGTCCTGGCTGCCTGCCAGTTGCAGTCGCGGCCCGACGCCGTAACACGGCGCGCGCCGCGTCTTCGCCGGGCGAATACGCACCGGACACGAGTTTCGTAGAGATGCGTAGCGCGCGCAATGCCATTTCAGCATCGCCGAGAAAACCGGAGGAAACGCCACCGGGAAAACCAGAGGAAATTGAGCTTCTGCGACAGCAAGAAATGATCGCAAAATGGTGGTTACACGTTGCCTTCTGAGCCACCCGATAAATTTGGTATGTCCGCCCAATTCTGTCGTTCTGGTGCTATCATGGATTGACTTCGGGAAGCAGGCATCCCGTTGGGTTAGGGTTCGGACTCCCTGTTCCTCTAGCCAGCATTTCGCCGCCTGACCAAATTCGCTTTATCGGAATGGCGTCCGACTAAACGCAAAAGTGATGCCCAAACTCAAGCAGAAGAGACTGGGGCCATTTTGTAACCGCGATGAAAATGCAAATAATCTACATTCGGCAGCTCGAAATACACACGAACCATATGAATGTTGCACACTGGTTGAAATAGGTTCAGAATACTGACTATCGAATGTTCTGTCATTTTTCTCCGGAGGGGAGGAGGGGGGGGGGGAGGGGGAGGAGAGGGGAATGTCCTCAGCATTCATGTTAACGTCACAGATACGAGTCATCTCTGTGGTGGGGTCTCACGTGTTACACTCGCAAACAAATTATCAAAAACATTTCTGGAACAAGCTACAGCGGTGCTTACGCTCACTGCCAACGATAAATGTTCAGCCATCAAAGGCCACCAGGCTGCATCACACAGCTGGTCCCTCTTCAAAACACAATGTGATGATAATCGAGCTTTTGGACATTTCAAGATCGTGACCACAGTTACCAGCACTCCGTATTTCAACATCAAGTGCTGATCGAGCGCACAGTGTTTGAGCGAGTGGCGCTCTGAGCATAGAGTGAACTCCACAAAGACTAAGTAAGTATAAATAGTGATATATTGTGCTTTCACCACTGTGGCAGGGGCCATAACCTACGTGCGCCGCTGTCGCCTATTCAAGGCGAAGTTTCAGTTGTGGCCAAATAGTACCGGCTCCCAAGGTAGACGTTCCTTTTTGGTAAAGACGCCTGTAGCCGTACCAATAAATGACATAAATTGCACCCGGAGTCCCTCAAGGCTAGAATTCCTGGCGAGCTTCCTCTGTGCCAGTGATCCCCTCAGAGCCTTGCTGATCTCCCTTACACCCAGAGTCTCATTGGTCCTCTTCGGGTACCAAAGCACGACTGATCTCCCTCAAGCCCAGAGGTCCGACCGATCTCGCTCAGGGGGATCTCTTTCCTGATCTTGCTCGGGGAGATCTCCCTGCTGATCTCCCTTAAAGCCCGAAAATACCGTCTATCTCCTTCGGCGCTCAGAACGGGTCTGATCCTCTTAGCAGCCAGACGTCCCCTGCCATCTCCCCCACAGCCCGGAGTCTCTTCTGATCTCCCCCCCCCCCCCCAGCCTCGCATCTCGGAGTACCCGCTGATCTCCACTACAGCCTGGAGTCTCCTCTGATCTCCTCAAATCTCACAGCCCGGAGGCTCCTCTGATCTCCCCGTCTCGCAGCCAGGAGTCCCCACTGATCTCCCCCACAGTCCGGAGCCTCCTCTGATCCCCCCTTCCCCCCCCCCCCCCCAGTCTCGCAGCCCCAAGTCCCGCCGATCTCCTCCTGAGCCGCCGCCGTCGCCCGACCTCGGAGCCAGGTGAGCTCTCCAGCCAGGAAGCGGGGGCCCGAAGCCGTGCCCGTCGGCGGGAGTACTTACTACTTCGCGCAGTCGATCAGCTGGTACTCGTTGGCCCTCTCGTAACACGCCTGAACGCCCTTGTCCTGCCAGAGTGCCTCGACGTGGTCGTAGAATTCCTGGAAACGGTACGGCCGGCTGTTACGCGGCTGTAAGCGAGCGCGGTCGCGGAGGAGGGCGGCCGCTCGCGCCCGCGGGCTTCAGCTCGAGTTGGGCCGGCACCAGCTGCGCACCTGTCGCATACGGGCTGGCGCGCTGGCGGCGCGCAGCCGAGCCGTCAATGACGCAGCTGAGGTTGTCCAGAGCTGTTAACTTGTCGTTTCAAATCAGTGAGCGTCAGGAATAGACTGCCGTATGCGCAAGGAAACCCCAGATGGGTGAGTCTGTGCCGGACCTTCAAAGGCGCATAGTGAGGACAGTCCCTTCGTGGAACGGAAGCTTTTCCGGAAGCAGAGCGTTCGTTGGACAGATGCAATACAAACACGCTTATCTTAAATCGGTTACAAAGGACAGATGGTCAGCAGAGCGGGTTTTATGGCAGCATTGTCACCTGCACTGCGGCATGGCGCCGTGCAGTCGGCATACCCGGCCGAGCGAGCCCGACACCACCTACGGCGGCGGGCGCACCGTGTAGTTGTATGAGTACCCGATGCGTTCACATGCGTATGACGCAGGGCAGTGGTGCTATCTATGACGCGGATGGGGTAATGAAGGCACATGGTGTGATGTGGTGGCGAGCGATGCCGATGGCGGGAAGGACGCCAGACATACGGGCTATCAACCCAGCCGGTCGGAGGAAAAATCAAGCACGTAATGAGAACGGCCGGGCCAGCGTGAAAGACAACAGAAAACACAGCTAAGCGCTGACAACCAACACTACGCCATCGCATTAGAGGAGGGCCGCGACTCTGACCGGCGGGTAGTCGAAGTACGGCTGGGACGCCACATCCTGGACGTAGTTGACCCTGGCCTCGTTGTCGGAGTGTTCCAGCGCTATGGGCGGCGACAGCGTGCTCATAGCACCGGTGATCGTCTGCAACGTGGTGCGCATGCGTCAGGCGAGGGCCGGGTCACAGGCCGCGGGGGGTGGGTCACCGGCTGGCCGCCGACCGCGGCGCCGCACATGGCCGGGCGGCCCCGCAGCAGACGGGGAGCGGCCGGCGGCGGCGTTGCTAGCGTCACTGATGCTAATCAGCGACAGACCGAAGACCGTGTTCAAAGCGGGCAGGCACCGGCTTTCCTCGAATTAAAGACAATCGATGCAATCCACTTTCAGCGGAATCAATTTAACTTAGACGCTTAATCCGTGTTCTTGTTCATGACGCAAGCCATTCAAAGCGGGTTTGAACAACGGCTATCAGTCGATCACCGATGTACATCAGTTCCAGAACTGGACCCATGAGTCAGAAGGGCTCCGCCAAACCGACGAATCGGTCCTGGGCTGGTTGTCCGCAAGTCTTCCACTAGCCGAGCCCAGCGCGCATCACACAGGACAAATGCTGTAGGGCATCTTTCTCCAGTTCCCACAGTACAGTCCCGCAAGCACAAGGGACATCGTTCAACCGAACCATCCGCGATTTGTACCGCCTTTCTGACCAACGCTTTCGCTAAGTTTCGGACAACGCCTGCCATCCGGCCTCCGCCAACCTGCGTAGTGACGCTTCGCCGCGCCTTCACCCTACAACCGAGCACGTCGCCAGAACGCTAAGGTCACATTGCTCATCGGTGCCGGACGGAGGCCAGTTGGCGGCCCCGGCCTGTCCGTGACAGTCGAGTGATCGGTTCGGTGGAGGGTCGGGTGTCAGCGCCCGGCACCTGATCGTGAGTCAGCACACGCCCGCGGCAGACGCCCCGCTCACAGCTCCGGCTGACCCGCCGCCGGCTGCACAGGCGGGACGCCCGGTCGGCGGCGCCACCGCCAAATGAAATACCACCCACACGCGCGTGCACGCCAAGTCTTCTTCGCCGGTCGTTAGGGATACCGAGACCCAGTTTACAGCCATGCGCACGTCAGTGGCGCACGGCACATGTGCATGGCTTGCCTCATACGTACCAGGATAGCGTCTCGCACATTTTTCTTAATGTCTGCTATTTTCTTCTTCTTCTCTCTGAAACAAAACAGACACGTCGTCAGAATTCCACGCAGAAAATTTCAGGTACCAACGTGCAACCGAACGGGTAGCGCAAATGGCAATCGAGAACGTCAAGCAGTCACATGAAGTAGCTGAATAAACACTGCCATCACTACCATGGAGTGCATGCCACATGGACAGCCACTTATGTCGAGGAAAACGTTACGGTTAAGGGGACGGTTAACGAGGAAACGGTTAAATGCGTGCCGTAATTCCGCATCCTAAGAGTCAACAACCGCTGCAGCGTCCGACCGTTTCAAACTAGTCCGACTATATGGTATCAACGGAAGTGTCCCACATTTGTGAGGGGTTTGGAGCCAAAATAGCCATCTTGCATATCATTCGGTGCAGTTCGAAGCCCCTACTCTTTTCAGTCCTTTACTTTCTGAGCTACACGCCCGCGAAGATGCGCAGACTATTTCAAGGTTGCTCAGGCACCCATGACACCGTAATGACGTCATTCAAATCCTGCCATCCCACTGGTCATGTGGCGTCCCAAGGTGATAAAAAAATAGAATTACCGAGTCGTTCATATCTGGTGTTTGTGACGATGACTTCCAGGTATAGCCGCCGGCATTGGACTCTCAACCAATGTTGTGCAACCTGTTCATGCTTTTCATAAGAACTACCTTTTGTGCTACATAGCGCAAGACGTTATAAATAGTCATAGCGGGAATAAGACTTGTAATCGAATGACTTAAGAATAGCGCTATAGCCGAGCATGTAAATACAAGAAAGCACCTTAACCTCACGGATAAATATGTCAAGGACACCATGAGAAGGAGCTAAAACTCAGGCACCTGATGATACTTGGTTCAGCACACATCCAGTGCTGGCGATGGCCACCTCTCGGGAGATTGAAGAACTACAAATGAATGCTGTCACACAGAAGTTTCATGACATAATTGACATAATCAAACAGTAAGGTGTTGAGGATCTTTTCCACTTAAAGCATACCAATAGTTCTAAGCTCATTTCATGCTATCAGAAAAAAGGATTACTTTATCCTAATTTCATCCTATCATTCATGCTTGCTTCAACATCTCAAGATGTGCAACATTGTTTTTAAAGCCAATACCCCTCGGGACATATTAAAAAACACTGTGAAACCTCACGGCTAATTACGTCTAATAACAGCACTGGCTAACAATGACACATTATGTCTCCACGGTGCCTCTGCACCACCGTCAAGACAAAATAAGGATATTAATTTCGATTACTTTTGAGCCCAAATCACGCTGTCACCGCTATGTAACAGCATTTCGCTTATTCCCCGTAGTCACATGGCGACCGCCGTGCGCCACCCTACTGATGCAAATAAAAGAGAACGTTTGTGATTGGCTCAGCGGGCACCGAGGGCCTGCTACCGAGAAGCGCATTGGTTGGCGTTTGAACCAGTACGTCACATGGATCATGTGATACTCCCATCCCCAAACCAAAGCGCGCCTCGAAAAGAGCCGCTGTGGTAAACGCTATACATCTCCACATAAGAGAGAAATAAAAGTCATAGTATAACGTTTCGTTGAATTCGCGGGATAATAGCCTCATGTTCGCATGCCTGTTGACCGAACGGAGTGTAGCTGTCGCAACATTTATTACACGGACATTTTGACACACCAGCGTGTTGCAAACTTAACAGATCACACACGTTGGAAAAGCGAGCCAAGTGAGGCCAAATTACGCCAAACTTCTTTCATAATGTTAAGCAGGGAGTCAAATGAAATTTCTCCCGCAGGATCGGTTACTTCAAATAGAAATTCTGCGCTATTCAAAAGGATTTCGGGAAACTGGCATTCCTGATCAAATCGTACGCGTCTGATGTAGCAGCAAGCGAAAGGAACAAAAAGGTAGGATACTCTCTTTAAGTGGGTCCATGAAACATATTTCACGTTTCAGTCAGCACACAATGCTGATTACCTTAGGACAAGTGTGAGTTTACGAAGATCCACTCATCGAGACGTAACCAAACCCGCACATCGCTCTTTAATGCTCATTTGCATTACAATGCTGGACTTCCTTTACATATATAGGTTACAGTGAATATCATCCACAAAAGCTAAAAAACCTTACAGACCGACCCGCCTAATCACGATTTTCAGTTCATCATCACAGCAGCCAAATGTTCTCAAAGCAGTTAGCACGTTCTAGAAGCACGCGATCTAGGCACCGCATATTTAAAAGATATTTCGTTGACAAGGGCTCGACACGACACAAAAAAAAAACCCGACAAGAAGTGGGAGCGATAAGCCGGCGCCAAAGCCGACAGGGTCGAGCCGGGTGAACGCGGCCGCCGTGGGGGTGGGGGGGGGGGGGGGGCGCTGGGTGCTCGGCGTCCCCAGCCACCTGTCTCCGACCCGCCCTTCCGACGAGCGGCGCGGGGCCCGCAGGGGCCGCCGACGCCTGTTGCAGGCCGGCGGCGGCCGTCGGCGACGCGCGGCCAGCGCGCATGCGGGCGGCCGGCGGACCTTGAACCGAGCGCGGCCGGCGGCCGAGTCACTTCCGCGGCGGTCTCCATCGATCGCCGCCGCCGCCGGTCCTGGCCTGGCCCAGCCCGGCCCGGTCCGGCCCGGCCGGGGCCAGCGGGGCCGGCCCCTGGGCACGATCGGCACCGGGACATCAAAAGAGGCGGCCGGCGGTCGGCGGAGGGTCGTCGGCGGCCCGCCGGCGGGCCGCCGGAGGGACGGAGGACGGTCAGGTCAGGTCAGGTCAGGTCAGCGCCGACCGGTCAGGGAGCAGGTACGGTAACGAGCGACATGATAGCCGCTGCCGCACCAGGTCAGATCAGGACAGGCCAGCCGGAGATCCGGTCAGCGGCGGGTCCGGCCAGTCGAAGGCCCTGTCATCAGCAGGTCCGGTCCGGCAAAGGTCAAGTCAGCAGCGGGTCCGGCCAGTGGAAGGCGCCGTCAGCAGCGGGTCGTCCCACCAGCCGAAGGGCGCGCCAGCCGACAGAGGATGGGGGGGGGGGGGGCCGCGGGACGGCAGGGGGCGGCCCGTATCGACGTCAGTCACCTGGCGCGTGGGCGGCGGCCGGACGTGACGTCCGGAGATCGGGCGCCGGCGCGAGGCACCGCGCCCGGCCGGCCCGCGCGACCCGGAACGACCATGGCCGGCCGGCTCGCGGTGAATGGGCCCGCCTGATTGGTCCAGGTGGACCGGGATGGCCAGTGCGCCGGCCGCCGGCCGACCCAACACTGCACGGCCAGAACGGACTACGGCCACAGGAGCGCCGCACGCAACCGTGCCCTTCCGCTCAAGGGCTGCGTCCGAGCAGTAACCGTCTCAGGCGCTGCGGAACTAAGGAGCACAAATGTCCGGGTGCCCCGAGTTACAGACGGACAATTTTAGATGCCCTAGGAGTCAGGAGCGCATAAATGCCCTGGGACCGCAGACAACATACATCCGGTTGCTCCAGGATAAAAGCCGGCCCGGCCCAGCTGCTCCGGGATCAAAGCCCGGCGGCAGCCCGGCCACGGCACCGCCACACGGCGGCCGGCGCTCACGCCCAGGCACCGAGCGCCGCCGCGAAATGGACTAGCGGCAGCTCGGGTGGCCCGGGTCTCATCCGGGCCCGCTCCGGACGACCCGCCGCCCAGACGTGGCTGCTCGTGGGAGGAACCGAACGCTGACGTGACAGGGTGGTGAATGACGCGGCGGCGGCGACGCGCTTCGTGAGCCGGAGGGTCGCAAACATTTGAAAAGACGGAAGCGGACCTGGACCTGTTCCTCCATGTCTCCGATATAATCCGCTTAGTGAATCGATTGGCATGCTCCACGAAGCTGGGTTGGCGAAAAGCCACCTGTCCCTGGCAAAGCCATGCCAGTGGTTTATGCCGGCTGAAATCATTTTTATTGGCTTTACCTGGCTTAAAAGCTACTCTTGACGTCGCGGCAAAACATCACGAAAATCGGCTAGCATGTATACTAGGAAGAGTTCTATGACCAGCCATAAGACGGGCGGGGATGTGCCCTACCGAGTATGCCAGAGCAAGAGTGAAGTGGCATTCCAGGAACCCACCGAGTTTTGACTAAAGAGGCATTCCAGGTTTTAATAAATGCCACACGCTGTGGCCCACGCTGAGAGACGGCTTGAAATGATGATTTAATCATCATATCCGCCATCACATTATCCCGGAAGCGGTCCTCGGATGAATGAGACGAATGGTGCACCCCCGACGCAGACCTTTTCCCTGCGATCTGCGGTCACTGGGGCTGCCATCCGGCGTCTTCCACCTCAGTACGGACGGGACTGGGTGATTCACGAGATTCGTGGTTCCTTTTTCACTGCACTCGATGTAAAACAGCATTTATTATGTTCACATCGAAGTCGACAAGTCTGAGTTAAAACAATTTGGGTTATTTTTAGACGAAATGGTCTTAATGCCAGCCAGGTAAAACCAGTTTTAGACAATGCGACCATGTCGTGTCTTTGACTCACCAGCTGCTTCAAAAAGTAAAAACACGCGAAAACTGACCAGGAGCGTCTATTTAAGGAGAGTCAAGGGGTGCACACTCCAATAGATGCGTCTTATCTTGCCGCGCACGACATACATTTCCCACGCTTTCGAGCACATTTACTGCGTATTAGAAGCAACTTGCATGGGAAATTCGGGCCGCGCCGCACCCTCAGAGGTTTGGTTTGGCTGTTCGGATTACAGCCCTTTCGGTCAGTCATGGGCTATGTGATGTAGGAGACTGGATAGCGGTGGGTCAAAAAAAGCGCGCGAACCCGAGAGTTCACCAGCCAAGCACTCTTCGTCCGCACCCTTCTTCAAGGTTTGTGCTCGGTGTTCGGACGGAGGCCCCCACCAGGGGGCACTTCCGCCTACTCATGGCTGGTGCATGCAGTCTGGACCGAAAAATGGGGGCCACGTGAGAATGCAGCATTTAAAGCGGCATTGCAAAGCCATTGACATTGCAAAGGCATGAACGGGGGAATGATGCTGCCAGCGGAGTCCTCCACAGTACCCGGAACCGACCTAAGACCAGTTCCAGGCGGTTTGTAAGCCAGTGGCCGGGCTGCCAAACTCGAACCAACAATAGAACAGCCCAGGGGACAGCCCAATACATGCCACGAAGTCAGCGACAACACACACCTGAAAACCAATCTCCACGACCGGGAAATCGCCACGAGCCTTGTTCTACAACATTCGAACGCTGCCTCGACGCGGACAGTTCTAGGACCACCCGCACCCGCGGGCGAAGTGCTTGAGCACCAGACGAGGTACGCCGGTGACACAGTTGGCAACGGTAGCCGGCAAAGCCAATCGCCCATAATAAACGTCCTTGACGTCAGAAATATACTCTTTCTTCGAACACCGGGGAGTGATTAATTCAAACAAGTTCAGGTATTCAGTAAGCAAAGCCGGTTTTTAAACACGAACCAACTGGCACAATTCAATTCAGAGTCGCAAGCTCCCAACAGTACGGCGCCGGGCGGTCCCAATTTAGCCGGACTGAGCGCTGGCTGCGGCCCGCCTGCGCCGGCGCCGCCTGCCGGCCGGCCGGCCGGCGGGGCGTCTCTGGGTCGGCGCGCAGCCCTTCCCAGCCGTGGTCGGCTCACCTTGACCGGGCTCGCCGCGGCCCCGGAGACGGACGGCCAGCCGGCCCGCAGCCGGGGCAGCCGCCGCTCCCACGCCCCCAGTGCCCTGGGCCGCCGCCCTCGACCCCGACCTGCTCCAGACCGGGGCGGTCCCAGCGGCGGCGGCCGGGCTCGGCTGGAGGGGCGCGCGCCCGGCGCCAGTCCGGCTGTGTGGCTCGGGACAGTCACGCAAAACGTGGCTCACAGTCGGGCAGGGGTCAACCCAACCGTGAGTTTGGCATTCGCCGCTGAGCAATGCCCAGCACCGCCGACGAAGCTATTGTTCTCTTCCCGACCCCACCCCTACGAAACAGGAAAAATCGCTGCAGTGGTATAGGATCGCATTTCTCCCCCCTCCCCCTCCCCCCCCCACCCCACCCCCACTTGCAGCTGAACACCTAACTCACAAATGGGCCCCCTCCTTGCAACAGCGCTGTCTTAGCTTGGTGGCAAGCCTTCACCACAATGCGAAACATTGTGGTGGAGGAGGTTGTTCACCAAACACTGCAAGAAACCACGGGTGGAATAATTGTTCGGGCTCTCGTCCTGGCCTGGTATGCTAGTACGAGCGCCATGTTTCGGCCAGTTAATTTCCCGACCGTCGACGTCGCCGTCGACATCGACCGACCTTAGAAGGGTCGGAGAATGTTCGGCTTCCAGTCATGTGCGCATCACAACCCAAATTCTCTTGTAATTACTGGGATTCGAACCAGGGTATTGATTACAATAGCCACTGAGCCAACTTACCAACTGAGCTAACCAGAAAGGACAAAGAATCAGCCCGTCAAAACTAATGCATATTTAACACCAAACCAAAACGCTAGGCCAAACAATCCTTTCATATGTGATGATAACGCCTCTTATAAATCCTCCCCTAAAATTGCAAGAATTACTCAGGTGGGAACATGGACTTTATAGACACGGGCAGTTACGCAAGTTTGGTCCCTTCTTTCTCACCCCGTCTTAAAACCATGCAAGAAAAAAGAAAGCCATGCAAGAAAAGGCAAAACAAAACGAGCTCGAATTAGCGCATCCATCTTCACCTAATGGTGAACAAAATGGTCCCAATCGGGGCAAAGTCATCACTTGTCATCACTGCAAAAACGAACTAGAATTAGTGCCTCCCACTTCGCCTAATGGTAAACAAAATGAAAAACTAATAGGGTTTTGCTTTGGGGCGCGCCGACTGTCCGGTCGTGTGGTTCGCCAACTCCAGAACATCCTGGGATCTAGTCAGATTGATTTTTGAGGTCCGGAGGCAAGCCGGCGCATCGCTGCCCCACGTCGACGCCGATCCTTCTGAGCGGTGAGTGCGTCCAGGTGAGTACCCCCCTCTTCCCCTCCCCCTCCCGATACATTTGGCGAACTGCACCCCTGGCCATCGCATTGTTTCAGAAAACCAGCTCCAATCATCTTTTTGCAGATGACATCGAAAAATTCCCATTTGTTCCTGTCTGATGCTTGCACCAGCAGCAACTCACGATTTTCTCGGCGGCTTAACCATTTTTTAATCATTGTCACTCGTGGACGGGTTCAAATAAAACCATATTGTAACAATACTATAAACAGAACGACAAAGGAATCGCCAAATCCAAACTGGGTAATGGAAAAACTGGCAAGATTCCGTCTGAGCCTGAACGGGCAACAAGCCTCGTATTCGTCTTGCCATAAATGTTGTCTGACCACGCGGCTCCCTTACCGAAACAAGGCTTCGTTATTGATACCGACACTGACAACAATCTGTAAGCGCCGCTCCGGAGCATCCTGATGCTCAGTGTAGCCATTCGCCTCAGCATTTTGTCTAGTCTTTTCAGCGTTTCATCCGTCAACGTTGAATCCAGTCTGCATCTATTTTGACTTTTTACATTTAAGGCTGTCACCAACATTGTGTATAATGCTCACGGCACACGTGAACATTATATCGTGTAAGACAACATCACAATCATTCTGAGGTAACTTGTCGATAGCTGTTATTGCCCAAGTCACGAGTTTCAATCATAGCGGTGAAAATCCAGGCCAACATCAAACGGCTACTTTGATCCCTGTGCCAAAACGAAGTTGCTTACAAATGCTCACATCATGTAACGACACCACTGCTACAACGCATGACCGCTTCTTGGAGCACCATGACCGGCGGCAGGCATACTGTGGCTGAAGCTACATGGAGGAGAAAGGCATCAGACCAGGCAGAGCAGCTAATCATCATACCGCTAAATACAAGCAGAAGCAACAGCATGCTTTCACGGGCGAAACTTTTATCTTTAACCGTATCTGTATATAAACATATATATATATATAATATATATATATATATTAATATATATATATAAACTGTGCATTTCAAAGAAATGACAGCAGGTTTTTGGTAATGCATGAGCAGAATGGACTTACAAATCCGTTTGCAGCACACTCCTACGCATAGTACGCACTCGGAAGATTCTAACCTTCCTTAATTACCTAACAAACTACGTATTGTAATGCAAGCAGGTAGTGTCGGGTTTTGAACCACTGCCACAAATGGGTACCTCCACTACGCCCAGCCACTTAGACGGCGTTTCCGGTGGCGGTAAGTTACAGGTACGGGGATATTTAGGGTCTCATCTTAACTCACCTACGTGAATTGCATTCACACACCGTCATATTTACGACTAGAGCTCTCAGACCTAGGACAAAATACATCTTCGAGGAAGCTATAACTTCACGCCACGGGTCTACCCAGCTATGAGCCCGTTGCTAGAATTGCTAAGCACCACGAGATCCTTGGTGCACCCTTTATCGGTTGGTTGATTGAGCCATACTACCTAACAGCCCCGTTTTCACAACTTATTTGCGATGCCCAGGCTGTAACTTGAGGACTGATGCTAACGACGTCGATGACACGCGCTTCCGGCGCAACGACAGCACAAGCACGGGCGCAGTAATGACCTAGTGTCCGATTCGCAGCAATAAAAAACCTACACAAGCCACGTGTCCCCTGGCTGCTGCTGATGTGCCGCCACGGACTTGCACAGGTTGCTGCCCGCTGTCGATGGTCGAACGCAACCAACGCAACCACTGCAGGACCACCAAGGTGGGCCGCTATTTTACCACGGGACCACCCATGATGGGCTGCCGTTTCAGCCGCACCAGATCCCGTCCCAGACGTCTGGCCCGGCCGGGCCGGCGGGCCGGCAGAGAATGGATTGTGAGGACACACTTAGCAGGAGGCCGGGTCATGACGACACCAGCAGGAGGACGGGTTGTGGAGACACGCCGGATTGGCAGGGAGACAGGCCGGGAGGGCGCCGGCAGGAGTCCTCCTGCCGGGTCGTGGAGACCACACCGGATCGGCAGGGAGGCGGGCCCAGACGACACACCGGCAGGAGTCCTCCTGCCGGGTCGTGGAGACACACCGGATCGGCAGGGAGGCGGGGCCGGGAGGGCACCGGCAGGAGTCCTCCTGTCGGGGTCGTGGAAACACAGCGGATCGGCAGGGAGGCGGGCCCAGACGACACACCGGCAGGAGTCCTCCTGTCGGGTCGTGGAAACACACCGGATCGGCAGGGAGGCGGGCCGGGAGGGCACCGGCAGGAGTCCTCCTGTCGGGTCGTGGAGACACACCGGATCGGCAGGGAGGGCGGGCCGGGAGGGCACCGGCAGGAGTCCTCCTGCCGGATCGTGGAAACACACCGGATCGGCAGGGAGGCGGGCCGGGAGGGCACCGGCAGGAGTCCTCCTGCCGGGTCGTGGGAGACACACCGGATCGGCAGGGAGGCGGGCCCGGACGACACACCGGCAGGAGTCCCTCCTGCCGGGTCGTGGGACACAGCGGATCGGCAGGGAGGGCGAGCCGGGAGGGCACCGGCCAGGAGTCCTCCTGTCGGGTCGTGGAAACACAGCGGATCGGCAGGGAGGCGGGCCCAGACGACACACCGGCAGGAGTCCTCCTGCCGGGTCGTGGAAACACACCGGATCGGCAGGGAGGCGGGCCGGACGACACACCGGCAGGAGGACCGATCGGAAGACGCACCGGCAAGGGGCGGGTCGTGGAGACACGGCGGATCAGCAGAGAGAGAGACGGGTCAAGAGAGCACACCGACAGGGCAATCCTTTAGGGCCGACGGACTTACTCTGCACTGAAGCCATTCACGTGAAGTATCCGCATCTGTTTGACGATCGTACTCTTGCCCGATTCACCAGCACCTGAAACACACAGCATACGGTCAGCATGACGTAAACCAGTCCGTCCAAACCAGAGGTACAGCACCTCTCATCGGTTAAACGGGTGTTGCTTGCCGCGCGTCCGGGTGGCCGGTTGAATACCACATGCCCAGGTGAGCGTCAATTGACCTCGCCTGAGATCTACAAATTTAAGAGCCTGAAACACCGAATTCACAGCAGGGCGGACAGGTACACCTGTCAACTCGCTTGTGTCTAAATTTGAAGGTTCTATGTCCTGGACCTCGGGTCGAGTAAGGTCAAATAAGGTCAAACTCCGGATTGGTGTCCTAAGCGCCCCCAAACCTGATTCAACCGCCTTGAACCTAAATACCTGGTTCATGTAAGTAAAAGGCCACTGGCATTCATTTGAAAAGAGTGACCTTGTGTGACCTTTATAAGATCATGTAGCCAGAAGTCTAGAGTAACGTCTTTATTTCTGAAGATGAATTACCGTCAGGGATTGGGCTAGACGATATGCTCATGGGACAAAGGGCTGATCTGGGCCATTTTAGGTCAGTGACCCACTCTTATCTTTCAGAGGTCCCAGAAGATGTCTACTGCGCTCCCTGCTATCACGAGATAAGAAACAAGCACAAGAAACGAGCCCATAAAAAGCTTTCCGGCAAAAAACAGGACTGGTGTTGACCTCAGTCTGACCTACACACCTGACCCAAGGTCAATGGGATCTGTCGTAATCCTAACTACTATTGTCTGTCTACGACACTATCTCAGATATGTGCGGCTTCTTCTAGTCCCCCCCCCCCCCATGTCGCATTAGATTGAACGATTCCCTACAAACTGCCTTCGCTGACAGCCACGGCTTGACTTTGACCTGCCATAGGTCAGCGACCTTACAAGGTAGTCTAATTTTGCTAACACAAATATCCGCCGTTCAATTGCCCACACTTAGGCAAAGTTTGACGCGGTTATGCCGCGCTTTTTTCGAAAAAATTATAAAAACAACTTTAGGGGGTGGCAAACTGACCCCCACCCGGGCGCGTGCTAAGGCGAAAACCGGCCTCGGCGTCTGGCCTGTCCAGGCTACGCCCAGATGCCTGATAACGCACGACAGGTCACGCAGCGGACACCACACATACCTCGCCACCTAGATATCTGAGGAATGTTGGGACCAACGCGAGAGACCATCGATAGTTGTTATCGGCGCCGGTCAGCGCTGTTGCCTCGCCGACTGTATCGGTATGGGGCTCGGCGTGCACCGCCGTCTGTACAGGGAGGGCAGGACTGGCAGGGGTGGGGGTGGGTGTTTTACTTCCGAAATAGTTCTTTCAGCTTAATCAGTAAGCTCGAAAAAGAGTGAGTCGATAATGAGAGCCTACCAGGTCGACATTGGCAAAATATGATGGTTTGGTAGTACGGGATGTGTGCCCACACCACACCTTGTACCTCTTCACAAATGTCTGTTTCAGATGGTAGCGTCATATAACATTTGACTTCAACGTTCTAGTCCCATTTGATAAACATTCTCATAACTTGACAAGTCACATAAAAAGCGATGTAACGGGTTCGTGACAACAGACGAAGACAACGGTGCCGTCCCATGTTTTAACACGACGCTTTGAGTGAAGCCGAGCGTGGCTGACCAGTGAAATACGGAGCTCAGCTGGTGGCCGTCCAGACAGGGTCCCGGAGCCTGGACCTGAACCAGATCAAGTCAGCCTAACATGTGCCGACCATCAAGCGTCACAGACCCATCGCCTGGCCGGAGAAGGGTCACACTTGAAGCGGGCGGAACGACAGAGGCACGCGGCTTGGCGGGGTGGCCGCCGCGGTCACAAACGGGTAGTCCTGGCGGGAGCGGCTCGTCCCGCCTCGACACTGGCGTTCGGGCGCTCGCTGGGGGCGCCGTCCAGCCCTCCCCAAAGGGTGGACAAAGGCGAGGGGAGCTGGTGGAGCGCAGAGCGCATGGAAAGAAGCCAATCCAAATGCTCCTAAAGCCTTGCCCTACCGTTGAACTAGCCCCCATCCCCTCCCCGCCTACTGCTGGCGCCCTTAGCTGGAGAGGTCCCAGCGGGAGGCACTGCTCCCACAGCCGAGTCTTCATCTCGTGCGCCTGTCAGGAGCGTGTCTACTGCGGAGCCGAGCGCAGTGACTGGAATAAGATCAACCCACGCGTTCCATGAGCGCAGCCCGGATATGCATACCGACTATTCATCTACAGAGATTCAGGGAGAGGAATGAAACCCCAGCTCAAAACTGCTGTACCATAAGCGGCTATAAGCTCGGGCCTAACCAACAGTTGATTCGGTGAAAACAGAACCCATGAACAGCAGACATATCTTGGGGCCCAAATCTCACTATTTATAACTACGACCCAGGCACCGAAGACCGCATCAGTTTGCAGTTTGCAGTTATGAGTACAGCCAACCGATACAGCAGGGGGGGGGGGGGGGGCAGCTCTTGGCTGAGTGGGCGGCTCGGCCTTCCCTGCGGTCCGGGAGGCAGGGCGGCGCCAAACGCGCCACCCGACTCCGTCCGCCGGGACGACACAGCACGCGTGAGGCGCAGATGGAGAGGAAGGAGACCACCGCAGCACAGAACGGCCCACGGCCTCCACCGGCGCCGGTGACGGCGCTGCTAGGAAAGAGGTCGGCGCCGACGACGCAGTACTGAACAGGACGGCTGGCAAGGAGAGCCGGAGTGGCGGGAACCACAAGTACCACCGGCACCGGCACTGGCCCCAGCCCAGTCCGTCACAGATAGGGGAATCTCTTCAAGGCGGGGTAACCACCGGCAGCCTCGCCACCTCTGCAGCCCAGTCCAACACCTTACCCCCAGGCTATCGCCAAGGGAGGGGGGGGGGGGGGTGTATCGGCGAACCTGACAAATCCAGTGCAGCTATACCCAACACATGACGTCAACCCAATTGAAGTCCGGAACAGTGGATGCAATACAGACGCGCGCACCGCGAGGCGCCTAGCCGATAAGGCATGGTCCGAAGAACCGCTGACGCCGCCGAATGCCACTGCCGCAAAACCGGCCGACGAAACGCCATCAGACAACCGCTGGCAGTAACCCTGGCAATGGATTCTGGGCATTACGCCGCCGCTAAATGCTACTAACGGCAGTGGTCAAATCCGCAGCGGCGGTCGCGGGTGGTAGCCATGGCGACGCCATGCGGCCGACAACAAATGGCCGGCGTCGGGCCTCGGTGCCTCGCCAGCCGAGCCCGGGTCGCGACCCGCTGACCCGAGTTGGCCCCAGCGGCGCCGGGAGCAGCCCGCTGACAGGCGGGCACAGGCGGGCGGGCCGGCCGGCCGGCTGACCGGGCCAGCCCGCCCCACCGTCAGCAGATGAGACCGGCGCCGTCTGACTGGCACCTATTGATCGCACGCGCCGCGAAAGCCCAGATCAAAAGGCATACCCACAAGGAATGCGTGGGCCAGCTGGCCGACGGCGGCGGCGGCCTAATGAGACGGCGTCAGCGCGGCGGACCGTCCGCCGGCGGGACGGCACGGCTTCCCCGGCCAGACGGCCCAGCGGCTACCTGGACTCTGGCCGAGCCCGCCGGCCGGCCGGCCGGCCTGAGCCACAGCCAGCCATGCACGCTGTGTTGCGCGATCCGACAACATTTCGCATTGCGTCTCAACGTTCGTCGAACTCCGTGCAGATATCCAGAGAGCGCGCCGACGATCTGAGCTGATGTGCAAACATTTCCGCGCAAATATCGCTATCGCAAATCCTCGCTTGCATAATCTTTCACCCCAAGTCCGCATTCACCCTTTCCCTAGCCCAAAACTGTGTGCTACTGTGTGTGCTACAGCATCCCTACCCAATGGAAGATATTCGGTGCATTAGCGAGAAAATTTATTCACATAGATAAGACAGCAGTATTAGCCTTATTCCCCGGAGAAAAACCAGGAGAATGGAGATAGTGTTGGGTTGATAATACGATAAAGGCATGTTGTCAAAACATCAACCCAACTCTATCTCCACTCTCCCGGTTTTCCTCCGAGAAATAGGGCTTATATTACTGTCTTACCTACCCAAAGCAACTCAATGTGTCGCACTTATTCGTTAACGCTTATCCTGGCACCTGCAACTCTTAGCATAGCACCATTCGATGAGGCGATGTTGATTCGCTCTAGGGTAACAGGCATGTGGCATACGCACCATAAACATTCGCGACGCACAGGACTGCTAAATTTAAAGTACTGCAAAGGCTGGCAAGGGTGAACCGTGTCGTCAAGCAAAAACGGACAACTTTGAGCTTTGCTGGCACGTGGGTTCCCACGTCCACGGCTCACGCACCGTACTGGTTTGCCTCCGGTAGATCAACTACGGCATGTCGGCTGGTAAACATCTGATTAAGTTAGAAGTAAGTAAACAGGTTTTTTAGCGTATCAACAACCAAGACGGACCATTTTGAACTTTGTTGAGCCGTGTGTCTCGATGTTCATGATCCACGTGCTTTAGACATGTCGGCATCTCACAAATCGACTATGCCGCGTCAGATGATGTGCCTATTTGCAAGCACAGCACGGACAGGCGATTTTTACGTGTCTTAGGATTTTCTCTTTAGCATGTCGGCGTTAATGTCCTTTTACGTGAGACAGACAGTCTGATTCGCCGTATTTTGCGCGATCCGTTTAATCAGGATGGGATCCAGCAGAAGCGTCACGAGCATAAAGGTCACTCAGCGATATTCCTGCTCTAATCTCAGCACTGATTTGCGACAATGAAATTCCAACTGACGGAATTTGAGAGTGCCCGACATTTAAGACGAATCTGTGCGCTCAACTTCCGTTTCTTCTTCTCTTCTTTATTTACGAATAGCTGCCTCGCCACAGAGTTACGCTCACTACAGTCTCCGCCGGAAGCGTGCCAAAGACCCGGCAGACTGAAAGCTGTTGAAGAGCCAACATTTTCACTAGCGGAGGGGTGATTTCGCCGTTTGCTAGGAGAGTCTGGTTCAGCACGTGCATTCAACGGGCCACACTGAAGTGGGTAAAATCGCGCTGTGC